CCCCAAAACCCCAAAACCCCAAAACCCCAAAACCCCAAAACCCCATTAATAAGATTTGACATTGAAAATGCTATGGGTTCTAATCTTTATCAAGAAGCAAGAGTATAGGTGTCTGGGTTACTCATTTGAGGAGCTTTCTGCATCAACTTCATCAGCATAGTCCTGGAGGATCTGCCCAACTTCATCAGTGTAATCTGGCTCTCCTTCTGGGAATTGGAATGCTGCCAAGGTCTTTAAGATTCCTAAGCCAGCCATGTTTTCGATGCCCTTCAGCTCTGTTGGTGTGCAGAACTAAGAAAAGTTAGTAAGGAGTAAAGGAAAATAGAAAAGGACAAAAGGAGAGTGTAGAGAAACCATGATCTAGGTTTGGGATTATAAGTCATAGATGAAAAATTTCCTCCTTGTTTGTGAGAAATAAAATTAAGATATGTTCCAAACTTACTCTATCTTTTGCTAATCCAATAGCACAGGAAGAGCAGTGCATATCTTTGGTTGCAAGACTTAGAAGCCCGAAGGACTCCATCTCAAGAGATGCGACATCTGGGAATTTCTCTCTGAGATCGTCGATCAATGTGTCATTTAAATCATTGAAATTTGGATCTATTCTTCCTTCTGAACAATAAAATGAGTCTGCAGATCAATTCATCACTTGCTTTACTTTATCATTTCCAAGAGCATTTCTAAGATTGCACACCATCAAGCTTGATAAAGGAATATCCGCCTTCACAGGAGGAGAAAATGAGTAAGCATTCTCTACATTTCCTTTAATAATCTCATCACGATTAGTTTGGATAAAGGTAGATCCTTTGGTTGCAATGAGAAGCTGACCGGCTTCATAGTCTGGATGAACTACTCCGCAAGTTCCTAGCCTGATCATAGCAAGAGGACCTTGGACCACATGTCTGATCTCTCTCACTACGAAATCAATCATTGCATATCCCATTCCTGTAGCAACAATAGACAGTGGGACTCCTTTGAATGTTCCTGTGAACACCTTAAACATTGTATCTGAAGATACGACTCTAACCTTGTCAGGATCATCAAAGAACTTCGAGATCTTCATTGCTCTTGCAGAGTCTCCAACACTCAGAATTCTATTGGCAACATCCCCTCTTATTACGTTCAGGTGAAGAGTCCTTCCATTCTTCCTCACAGGGAATTGATCATGTTCATTATCTGACTGAGAGTCATGCTCAATTTTCTGGTAGGATGAGTATTTGTTCTCTTCTTCGTCTATTTTCATTCTCTTAGCAAAAGGTATGTGCTCTTTGTCAGTTTCAGAGTGGCTCCGGACTCTCTTCTTTCCTCTAGTAGCCATTTTATTTAAGATATTTAAAGCTCTAATTATTTATAGGATACTCAAGCCAGAAGACTCATTTTGGGGTTTTGGGGTTTTGGGGTTTTGGGGTTTTGGGGTTTTGGGGTTTTGGGG